GGGCTCATTTCTACTTCCTCTAATTTCCATGTATATGTTTAGAATGCTATATACATATATATATATACACATACATACACATATAACATTGTATGTAATAGTGTTCATATCTAAGCTGTCAAATGTTCACAATTACTGTCTCTCAGGAAAGCTTCTTTTTAAAAAATTTTTAAATAAAATTTTATTTTTTCCCTAATTATATGTAAAAACAATTTTTTAAACATTTGGTTTTTTTTAAGTTTTGAGTTCCAAATTCTATCCCTCCCCCATCCCTGAGACAATAAGCAATCTGATATAAGCTATACATGTAAAACATCTCCATATTTTTAGTCATTTTGGGCAAGAAGACTCAAATAAAATAAAAGGAGGAAGGAAGGAAGAAATGAAAGAAAGAATAAAAAAGAAAATGAAAAATAGTATGTTTCGGTCTGTATTCAGCCAGCAACAGTTCTTTCTCTGGAGGTAGATAGCATTTTTCATCATGAGTCCTTCCCTTTGTCCTTGTCTTGGCTCATTGTAGTGCTGAAAATAGCTAAGTCATTCATAGTTGATCATAGCACAATGTTGCTGTTACTGTGTACAGGTTCTCCTGGTTCTGCTCACTTCACTCTGCATCAGTTCATGTAAGTCTTTCCTAATTTTTTCCCTGGAAAGTTTCAATTAACTTTCTCTCAAAGAAATGTTTCTCAGGCTACAATTTATTCATTGGCTTGGTCATGGTTTTTCTGTTCAGTCCTATCCTAACCTACCCTGTCCTAGCCTTACCCAACAGATACCATCCCCTATATCTTATCAGTCAACAGATGTCCCAGGTGATGTCTCTCTCCTGGTTTGTTCTCTCTATCTGTGGATGAGGGTGGAGCCTCAGCATCTCAGAATCCAGGAGTGAGTCAGGAAAGACAAGTCAGAGAACCAGTTCTTAGGCTGGGTCACTTACCTGGCTCAGCAAAGCCCTGACAAGTCCCTAATTCCTCTCATGCTTCTGACACAACATAGATCAGCAGAGGCCCGCAGAGGAACCTCTAAATGTACCCCATGGTTAATGAGGCAGATTTGTAGACATTTGCCATATTAAATTTTCAATCTAAGGTGTATCAGGAAGGCTTCACTATTGTATTCAGAATCCTCTGATTTCAGCTTTAGCTGGAACCTCTTCAGCTGTTTAGTGTAACCCATACAACACCAGGGATGGGACCACATACTGTAAACTTTCCTGGTCTCCTTGGCTTACTCCCACCCAATAGGGATGTACCAGGTGCAGCCATAATACACAGAAATACTGGGAAGGGAAATAGACACTAAACACAACCTCCTTTACTTTGCTACACAAGCAAATCTCAGGAGGGATAGATAGACAGACAGATGGATTGATAAAGAGAAAGGTAGGTAGATAGACAGACATAGGTAGATAGATGGGTAGATAGGTAGAGAGTAAGTAGATAGGAAAAGATAGAGAGGACGATAGATAGAAATAGAGAAGGAGAGATACAGAGAAAGGTAGATAGAAAGATTTATTGATAGATAGGGAGAACTAGACAGAGATAGATAGATAAATGAGAAAAAGAGGTAGAGACAGGAAGAAATAGATACATAGAGTAGAGATAGACAGACAGATAGATAGATAGATAGATAGATAGATAGATATACAGATGCAACATTTATTTAGTACTTAATGAGAGACACACAGTGAATCCCATCAATGCTGCTCCACCTGCCCACATGGAAAAGCTTGCCTCCATCCCAGTCACCCTGCAAGCAGCTGGATGAACCACAGGGTTCTACAGTAGCACTCAGTCTGTTACAGACCATCCACTATGCTGCTGTTCCTCTTCCTTAAGCCTCTCACCATATGCTACCACTGTAGAACCATCTTGGTGGTGAACAGTTAAGTTCAGCTGCCAGTGACTCAGCACTGTTTCTCGCAGTCATGCTGAATCAGCTCAGCTCTTAGCTCAGGTGCTTCCTCTGGCCGTGGTGCTGAACGAGATAGCCCTGCCTTGGACCAGTAGGCTGCAGCAGTAGCCAGGAGCAAGGTACATTTTAATACCATGAATACAGAAACCAGCTCCTGGAAGCTGCAAGGACAGAGTTCCCCAGCAGGGCAAAGTCCTGCCAGTAGGATGCTTGCCCTCATATCTCCCAGAATTAGCGAGGTGAAGAAAACCTTCTGCCCTCTGAAAAGGGCAAAGAGCTAATGCCAAAGATAACTGTCATGGATTAGGCCTGAGTTCAGACTGCAGTTCTGTCCCTTACTACCTTGAAGCAGTTACTTAAAACTTCCCTTGGCCTTGTTTTCTTCATCTTAAAATATACAGGACCTATAAAGGGCTTCCTAGATGGGTTTTTATTAATGATCATAGGAGCATAGCTATTGAGCAGGGATGGACCTAAGAGATGATCTAGTCTCATTTTCAGAGGAAGAAACAGAGGCCCAGAGATGTTAAACAACCTTCCCAAGGTCATGCAAGAAGTAACAGGGGCTGAGGAGAGAGGAACAAGAATTTATTATGCACCTACTATGTGCCAGGCACTGTGCTAAGTGTTTTACAATTATCTCATTTGATCCTCACAACAATCCTGGGAGGTAGGTGCTATTATTATCCTTATTTTACAGTTGAGGAAACTGAGGTAGATAAAGGTTAAATGACTTGCCCAGGGTCCCCAGCTAGTAAATATCTGGGGCCAGATTTGAATTCAGGTCTTCCTGAATCTGGGCCCAGTGCTCTACCCAATGAGTCACTTAGCTGCCAGGGCTAAAATTAAAATTTACATCCCGTGATTCTAAACTCCACACTTTTTGTGCTCTCCAGGCAGATTCTGGTATGAGTGGATGCCAAGAAAAGCTGATTTACTCCCCCACCCCTGTGCAAATAGAAACAGCTGCCATCAGACAGGCAATGGTGAAAGACTGGGTTTCTCTTCCATAGGCATGAGCCCTTGGGGCTCAGCTGGTTCAGGACCAATCCAATCTACTGCTGGTTTATTAAGCACCTACTCTGTGCACTGTCCCTTGTTAGAGATGCACAAATGAAATATGGCAGGGCCCCTGGTTCAGGGGAGCATATAATCTGGTAAGGGGAGAAGACATACTTCTTATATTTCTAGAATTTTTACTTCTTTTACGTGGGCTGCTGCACCCAATGCAGGTTGCAGGCCCTTATGCCTTTAGTGAATTTAGGCAGTGATTTCAGGGTCATAGTAGTTGAACAAAATTTAACTCCTACAGTCAAATTATATATAAGAAGCCTAGCCCTTGGCCCTTAACTTGACTGGACCTTAGGTGTCAGACTTTCAATACATTCCCAGACCTGCCCTCCTAGTCTTTCTGTCTTGGTAGTGGGTACAAGAGTTTGCGCTTTGTTAGTGTAAATTTAGTGACCATGTGCCACATGGAGGCACTAGAAAAAAAGCATGAATGTACTTGGAGGCCCATATACACAATGACTCCCAAGTGAAATAGAAGAAGGGAAAGAGATGATCTGTGTTCAGCCACTTACCCTTGCTCACAACGCCAAATGAAATAGACTTTGCTGTTGCCACACTATTCTTCCAGCATAATGTAGAGGAAAGAGTGTTTGGACTTGGAGTTAGGCGACGTCTAGATTCGAATCCAGCTTCAGGGCTGTGTGGTTACAAGCAAGTCACTTCATGTCTCTGAGCCTCAGTATTCTCATCTGTAAAACAGAGCATGATAATAGCATCTATTTCACAGGGTTGTTGTGAGGATCAAATAATGGGGGGGAAAGATCACTGACTCTGGAGACAGAGGACTTAGGTTCAAATTCTGCCTCTGCCATTTGTTACTTAACCTCCCTGGGCCTCAGTTCCTTCACCTATAAAATGAAGGAGTTGAGCTAGATAACTTCTGAGACCCCTTCCAACTCTAGCTCCACGATCTTTGTAAAATGCTTTGCAAACCTGAAAGTGCTAGATAAAACCTGGAGAAGCTCACTTTGCTCATATTCTCTTAACAAATAGGAGAGAGAAGAAGCTAAGCAAACACAATCCTTCTGAGCAGCCTCTCAGCCAGGCTGCCTCATGACTTGTTCTGAACTGTGTGGCCCAATGGAGTGGAAAGGGCACTTGGAGTCAGGAGACATGGGTCAGAATGCTTTCTCAGAACCTCGTTAGCTTTGTTACTCCACTCCTCTCACCTCAGTTTCTTCTATAAAGCTGGAATCCAATTGTAAGCTCCTTGAAGGCAGGGACTGTCTTTTGTCTCCTTTTGTATCCCCAGTATTTTGTACAGTGCCTGGAACATACAGAGTAGGTACTTACCAGATGTTGATTGATTGATTGATTGATTGAATAACAGTACTTGTACTGCCTGTTTAGGATGACCTTTGTAAAACGGTTGTCATTGTCAGGAGGGGACAAGTGGCTTGTGTGATGGCTGGATGTGACACCTACCCATTCAGAAAGTCCTCAATATATCATCCCCAGCCCCCAGTATCAGCCAGCTCTTCATCTGTTCAGGTTTAAAGTCTTCCTCTCGCAAGGTAGTGTAGTATGATGTCCCAGAAAGACATGGAAGGAGTGCCAGACTTGGAGGCAGGCATCTGTGGATTTTAATCCTGCCCCTGATACCAGCTGTGTGATCATGGGTAAGTCACTTAACCTTTCTGAGCATCCATTTCCTCAAAGGGAAGAGAAAGGAATACACATTTATATAGCACCTACTATGTGCCAAGCACTATGCCAAGTCATGTCTCCCAGGGTTGTTGTAAAGTTCAGAAGAGCTCATCTATGTAAAGCCCTTCACAAGCTGAAAAGTGCTATGTAAAAGCCTGCCATGATTATTACTGCTATTTCCCTACCATGTGGTGCTATAGACCTTCTGTAGGTGGCTGCCACACTCTATCATTCTTTCTAGGGTCTCTTTATCTCTGCCACTCATGGGTTTAGGAATAAATTCATTCAGCCATAGACACATTCCGGACCAATGAGCTAATCCTGCTAAGTCTACGGTTCAACAAGCCATCTTAAACCTTCTTTTGCAGGTCTTCCGAGAGAAGGTCATCAGACTCGGAGAAAAGCTTCTGCCAGCCTTCAACACCCCCACTGGAATTCCCCGGGGGATGGTGAACTTTGGGAGGTAGGAACCATCTGGCAGCATTGGCATTGGCTGTCTTCTCCTGGTGGGGGGGGTCTGTTCTTCATGCCACGGACTGATTTAGCTACAGGGAGAAGTGGGCTGAAGCAAAGTGGCTTAGAGGGGTAGTCATGGCTTACCCCTGCCCCCTCCTGTGACAGCTGGCAGCCAGGGGCCAAAGTGGGGAGTAAGTAAGCCTGTGGTGGACCCTTTTTTCACAAGTCCTTGAAGAAAAAAGAAAGTTACATGATAACTTTATTATGTATTTAAAAGGAATAGCAAGTTGTATAAAATAGATGTACGATTTCATGTTCAATCATCTTTGTTTTACTCTACTATACTATGGAAATGCTTGTTTTATTTCATAAAGTAAAAATAAAATAAATTAATTTTTTTTAAAAAACCCAACTCACCCAACCCAAGAGGCTCATGCTGTTCTTTCCAGACTAGCAAGGACCCTGGGTACTCTCAGGTGGACAGCTCCTCTGCTATTTATTCCATTCAAGTCAACAAAAATGTGTTGGGTGCCTACTCTATGCAGAGCATAGCACTCGAATATAATAAGTACTTAATAAATGTTTATTGACATGAACTTATCTGGGCGCTAAGAGATACAATCATATATATCTTCAGAGCCTAGGACAATGCATTGCATTCAGTAGGCAATGAATAGATGTTTGTTGAATGAATGGATGGATTTTGAACCTACTAGGGAAATACGCATAGGTATAATACAAAATAGGGCATTATATAGGTACATCAGAAGGATAGAAATTTAAGGACAAGAAAAGGAAATAGTACTTCTGGTGAGAAAGATCACGGATGGCTCCCGGAAGAGCTAAATATTTAAGATTGGGTAGGGTTTTAACAGTGGAGATTGGAGCAGAGAGAGTATTGTTGATGTGGCAAAGATGTGAAGGTGGGAAATTACAGAATATTTAATGGATGGTCAGTAGTCAATTCAGTTTGGTAGGAGCATGGGGTGAAGGAAAGGGGAAAGTGAGATAAATTTGGAAAAGTAGAGTGGCTTTTCATTGTGTAGGACTTTGGAATTTGGAAACGGGGAAAGGAATTTGGACTTTATCTGCTAGAAAAAGAATAATGTCCCTTGAATGATCCATTGACTGGTTGGTAGGTGTTAGGGAGCCTTTGAAGACTTTGAGCAGGGTATGGACATGATCAAGTCTTTACCTTGAGACGTCGAACAGCGCCTATGCAGGATACGTGGGAGGAGCAGAGTTTGGAGGCGGGTGGGCGGACGATTGAGGAGGCTATTGCAGAAATCCAGGCAGAAGTACTAGGACTAAAGCAGTGGCCATAGGAACAAGGAGGAGGTAAAGGATTCTAAAGAGATTGTTAGAGAAATATTCGCCGTTCTATAAAAAACAGGTGTGACTTTCCTACGTCTTCTTGGTAACTATCAACCTGCCCCATCTTTATCTTTCTACCTCCGCTCCAGAGCTCTATGCCTATAGACCTGTTGAGGCATGGAGGAAGAGGTTCAGGAGGTTTATTGGCTCAGAAGCAGGGTTAGGACCCTGCAGGCACCGATCCATGACCCAGAGCCTGTTAGGGTTGCTCCTGCCACTGTTCCGTTGGTTGGGACCCCTTCTTCTGGGAAATCCATTTGATGCCTAGGACTTTCTGATCCCTGGAGAGTTCAAGTAAGGTAGCATCAATGTCCAGCTGCCTATCTAATTTGTACCATGGAGACATCCCAGATCCTACCCTTTCTGACCATGGAACACTGGGGAGGCCACTTTACCACTCTTATGCCTCAGTTTCTCCACCTGCAACATGAGAAAAATTCTACTCCCACCTTTGTGATTTGTGAAGAAAATTCTTTGGGGACCTTCATGTTCTATAAACAAGAGAGCTGTTATTATCCACCAAAACCTTGGGCAGAAATGCTGAATAATGCCAACCGCTTTTCTCTCTGTGGCCAACAGAGACAAAGGCAGCATCTGGGAAGATGAATGTGGTGTGTGTGTGTGTGTGTGTGTGTGTGTGTTTGGGGGGAGATGCCATTAGCATTTCTTACTTTGTTTGATTCATGATTTCCTTGGTGGAGGCCCGCATCTCAATGCAAATCAACAGACATTTATCAGGCTCTGGACAAGGCCCTGTGCTCCATGCTGGGGATACAAAGGTAGATTATAATAATAGAAACTGACATTTATTTAGCATTTCACAGTTTGCTAAGAACTTTACATATACCATCTCATGTGAGCCTCACAACGGCCCTTCGAGGTACCGCTCTGAGGGTTATGAGCTCCATCTTAAAGATGGGGAAACTGATGCTCAGAAGTGGAGATACAGCTTGGAAGCAGCAGAGGTGACCTTTGAACTAAGGGCTTCCTGACCTCTGTCCACAGGGCTGCACTGCCTCTCATAGCCTTCTCCAGGAGCTCATGGTCTTAGAGGACTGAGGCAGGTGGTGGGATGGATAGAACATTGGGCTTAGAATGGAATCTCCCTACTGACACTTATTAGCTGAACAACCCTGGGCAAGGCCCGTAATATCTCTAAGCCTCAGTTTTCTTATTTCTAAAATTATGAGGTTAGATTTGGTGACCTCTGAGGTCCCTTCCGTCTCCTATCGATGATCTTATAGAGAGAGAAGGAATAGGCCTGAGATTTTACTGGTCTAGAGAACTCCCAGAAAAGGAAACTCCCTCTACTAATGCAGGTTAGGAGTTAGGAAGACCTGTGTTCCTATCTGACCTCTGACACTAGCTGGGTGACTCTGTTTGCCTCAGTTTCCTCACCTGTAAAATAGGGATGATAACAATAGCACCTATCTTCCAGGGTGGTTGTGAGGATCAAATGAGATAATTACAAAGCACTTAGCACTAGCGCCTGGCAAATAGTAAATGCTATATGAATGTTAGCTATTATTATTATTATTATTCTCTGTATCTTGTAGTCTTAGAGAACTGGCCAGAGTACTGAGAGGGCCAGAGTCACACAGCCAATAGGTGTCACAAGTAGATCTGAACCTAGGTCTTCCTGGCTATGAGACCCTTATTCTCTGCACTACCCCAAACTGCCCCTCACCCTATGAGATAACTACAAAATGAGGGAGGGGTTGGCGGGTGTAAAGGAGAAATCCCATAATTATTGCCCATGTCTTTCCATAGAGCCTCACTTCAGCAAGCCTTTAGTAAGCTTCTACTGTGTGGCAGGCACCATGCTGGACACTGCAGGTACAAAGACAAAAATGAAATTGCTCCTGTTGTCAGGGAGTTTACAATCTACTAGGAGGATACAGCATGGAAAAGATAAGTCAACACATAATAACTGGAGGAGTGAGAGGACATCGATCTGGGAGTCATCTGTACAGAAATGTTCATTAAACCCATGGGATCTGAGGAGGTTGCCAAGTGAGTGAGGAGAGAAAGGGAAGAGAAGAGGGCTTGGGACTGAGTCTTGGGAGACACCCACAGTTATGGATCAGGATATGACTGAAGATCCAGGAAAGATAAATGATAAGGTGTGGTCAGACAGGTAAGATGGAGAGAGAAAGAGAGACAGAAACAGAGACAGAGACAGACAGCGACAGAGAGAGGAGAGAGAGAGAGATGGAGAGAGACAGAGAGAGAGATGGAGAGAGAGACAGAGAGAGAGAGAAGGGGAGGGGAGGGGAGAAGAAAAAGAGGAAGGAGGAGAGACAGAGAAAGAGAGAAGTGTCACGAGAACCTAGAGAGGAGAGAATGGCCAGGAGGAGATAGCCAACAGTGTCAAATGCTACAGTGAGGTCAAGAAGGACAATGACTAGGAAAAGTGCATTAGATTTGGCAACCACGAGATCACCAGTAGCTTTGATGAGAGAAGTTTCAGTTGAGTGATAAAGTTGGAAGCCAGGCTACAAAGCAGAAAAGGAGGAAATGGTCATCACTAATTGGTGGAAGTGAAGGGCATCAGGGATGGCATCATGGAGGAGGTGGCATATGAACTGGGTTTCAAATGATGTAGGCTTTCAGCAGGCAGAAGATTGAAATTCTAGGTACTTGGAACAATTTAAGCAAAGAGAAAGTGCAGAACTATACATGGTGTGTTCAGAAGATAGTTTGATTGTAGCCTAGAGGAAGAATGAGACAAGGTGGGAAAGGTAGGGTAGCACCGAATTGTGGAGAGCCTTGAATGATGAGCTGAGGAATTTGGACTTCTGTTTGGTGGGCAACAGGAATCACCAAAGTGTTTGGAGTCAAGGAGTAACATGATCAGATCAATGCATGAGAGATTATTAAGGCAATGGTATACAGAAGAAGCATCCCTGTGTGTGACAGAACCAGAGTCAAATGTCTTTGGGAAATGTTTTACTAAATAAAAATACAATAAGTCAGTATGTGGCCTGCCAAGATCGATTTCTGTTTCAGTTTGGCACCACTGGATGGGTTGCAGTGGGAAGAACGTGAAACGTAGTGTGAGGTGATCACTGCAGTCCAGATGGGTAATGAGGCCTTGTACTAGGGTGGGAACTGAGAGGGAAAAGATGGATTCAAAAGTTACCACAGTTAGAATCAATAGGACTTAATAATTGTTTAGATAAGAGAGGCAATAAAGATGGAAACCCTCGGGTTTTTCCAAAGAAACCCAAGCCATCATCACTAGAGCTGGACAAGGTCACCTGGGACCTCTCCAGAGATTCCTTCTCCATGAGCACCAAGACTGGGGAAGCACGTCCAAAACGCCAGCTCAGAGGCCTCTAACCTGCTCTTCTGTCCTTCATGTGCTGGGGTTCCAGCAGTGAGATGCACCTCTCATCCCTCATTGCTCTGGGCCTGACTAATGCATGGCACCTTAGATCTGAGCCATCCACGGGTCTCTCTCCCAGCCCTTAATCTCTAAGAGATCCGACTGGACCCTCTTTGCTGTCAGCCACCTCCAAATCTCAAGAAGTACTTGTTTAATACAGACCCTTAACTGACATTTCTGATAAAGAAAGAATTTTTATTTTCAGCACTCTCCATCTTCTGAGGTGCAGTGGGGGCGGAAGGGGA